GGCGCTCCCTCAGCCCTGACCCTCCGACGGTGCGGCGCTCCCTCAGCCCTGACCCTCCGACGGTGCGGCGCTCCCTCAGCACTGACCCTCCGACGGTGCGGCGCTCCCTCAGCGCTGACCCTCCGACGGTGCAGAGCTCCCTCAGTGCTGACCCTCCGACAGTGCAGCACCCATGCATCTTCAAGTTACAGCTGAAGGAAATGAAACAATTTCAAGCCAGAAGCCTTGGGTGGATGAACCAGTTTGGCCTCCTCCAGACAGCATCCTGGATGCCAGTCTTCAATTGATTGGACTCACTCCCCTCAATATCAAGAAAATGTCTTAAGGTACTGGATGCTGCAATCATTATGGGCACTGACAAAATTCCAGCAACGATATTGAAGATCTGTGCTCCAGAATGTGCCGTATCTCTGATCAGCTCATACAGCTTCAACACCCCTAACAATGTGGGAAATCATCCTGGCACGCCTACCCACAAAAACGCTGGGACATACCTGATCTGGCCAACTACTGCCCCATCAATCGCCTCTCGATCATCAGTGAAGTGATGGAAGGTGTCATCAACAGTGCTATCAAACAGAACCTGCTCAGTGATGCCCAGTATGGGTTCCGTCAGGGCCACTCAGCTCCTGATCTCATTACAGCCTTCAGTCAAAAATGGACAAAAGAGCTGAATTCCAGAGGTGAGGTGAGAGTGACAGCCCTTGACACCAAAGGTGCTGTGACCAGTGTGGCATCAAGGAGCCCTAGTAAAACAGGAATCAGTGTATATCAGGGGGCCAATTCTCCAATGGTTAGACTCATACCTGATACTTGGAAGATGTTCCTGTCAGTCACCCTAGCTCCAGGACATCTCTACAGGAGTTCCTCAGGGGAGTGTCCTAAGCCCAAATATCTTCAGCTGCTTCATCAATGACCTTTCCTCCATCATAAGGTCAGAATTGGGGATGTTCGCCAAAGATTGTACAACGTTCAGCACCATTCGTTACCCCTCGGATACTGAAGCAGTCCGTGTCCAAATGCAACAAGATCTGGACAATACCCAGGCTTGGGCTGACAAGGGGCAAGTGACATTCGAGCCATACAAATGCCAGGCTGTGCCCATCACCAATAAGAGACAATCTAACCACTACCCCTGACATTCAATGGTGTTACCATCACTGAATCCCCCACTATCGACATCCTGGGGGTTACCATTGATCAGAAACCCAACTGGACCCACCACATAAACACAGCGGCTACAAGAGCAGGTCAGAGGCTGGGAATCCTGCAGCGAGTAACTCGCCTCCTGTCTCCCCCCAAAGCCTGTCCCACCATCTACAAGGCACAATCAGGAGTGTGATGGAATACTCCCCACTTGCCCCTGGATGTGGGCAGCCCCAACAACACTCAAGAAGCTTGACACCATCCAGGACAAAGCAACCCACTTTATTGGCACTGCATCCACAAGCATCCACTCCCTCACCACCAACACTCAGTAGCAGCAGTGTGTGCCATCTACAAAAAATTGAAATTCACCCAAGATTCTGAGACTGCACCTTCCAAACCCACGACCATTTCCATCTAGAAGGACAAGGGCAGCAGATACATGGGAACACCACCACCTCAAAGTTCCCCTCCAAGCCACTCCCCATCCTGACTTGGAAGTATATGGCCATTCCAGTGTTGCTGGGTCAGAATCCTGAAGCTTCATCCCTATTAGCATTGTGGGTCAACCCACACAAAATGCACTAAAGCAGTTCAAGATGTCGAGGTTTATAAAATCATGAGGGACATGGATAGGGTAAATAGACAAGGTCTTTTTCCCAGGGTAGAGGAGTCCAAAATTAGAGGGCATAGGTTTAAGATGAGAGGGGAAAGATTTAAAAGGGACCTAAGGGGCAACTTTTTCACGCAGAGGGTGGTGTGTGTATGGAACGAGGTGCCAGAGGAAGTGGTGGAGGCTGGTACAGTTACAACATTTAAAAGGCATCTGGATGGGTATATGAATAGGAATAGGTTCAAGGGATTTGGGCCAAATGCTGGCAAATGGGACTAGATTAATTTATTAAATTTGGTCGGCATGGACTAATTAAAAACCTGTCTATCTCTTCCTTAAATTTACTCAATGTCCCAACAACTGCCACACTCTGCGATAACAAATTCCTCCCCATTGGGAGAAGTAATTCCTCCTCATCTCTGTTTTAAATCTGCTGCACCTTACCCTAAAATTATGACCTCTCACTCTATATTGCCCAACGTGAGGAAACATTCTCTCTACGTCTACTTTGTCAATCCCCTTTAGCATCTTAACTTACCTCAATTATATCTCCTCTCATTCATCTAAACTCCAGAGAGTGCCAGGCCAATCTGCTCGATCTCTCTTCTTAAGACAAGCCCTCTCATCTCTGGAATCAACAAGTGAACCTCCTCTGAACCACCTCCATTGCAACTCCATCCCTCCTCAAGTAAGGGAATATGGAAAGGTTGGTACCTCTTGAAGGAGAATCCACAACCTGGGAATACATTTTAAAAACTTGTCACCCTTTGGAGATCAGGATAACGTTTTTTTTTAAAACAAAGGGTCGTGACCCTTGGAACTTCTTCCTTAAAAGACGCCGTAAGCTGAGACTTTGATAAGCTGAGACTTTGAATATTTCTAAATAGATTTTTGATAAGAAAGGAGTCAGGGGGGTGAAATATTACTGGGGGGAAGCAGGAATTTGGAGATGAGCTGCAATCTTATAAATTTGGAGAGCAGTCTGAGAACATAAGTGGCCTAAATTTCCTAATTCTTATATCATCTTATTATTGAATGTCATGTAATGTGCTGGTTTCCATTTCTGCTCATTGTCCATTATATACGTCAATATATCCCATTCAGTTTTGCTTTGTCAACAGTCACGGTGTAATTGAAGGGTCTGGCCATGGGGCGGTGTATGGAGCGAGGGTCTGTCAGCTGCCTTGTACAGATCATCCATGTTTGATAGCTGTCAGGCCGACCTATATCCTTCTGTTGGCTGAGGGGACAACTGACATTTTGCCAATGTACCTGAAGGGTGATGTCTTTTCTCGTGCGGTCTGACACTTGCCAATGTTACATCTCCGACAGGTGGGAAATTACCTGCGCATGTTCCGGGGCTCGCTGTACAAAAAGTATCCGTCACTTTGGAGACGTCTGGCTACTGTCGAAGAGAGGAAGAAGATTGTTGCTTCGTCACATGGTAAGGGTGAACCCTGAGGGTTGTTCCTCTACAGGACATTGGTTAAGCCACTTTTGGAAGACTGTGTTCAGTTTTGGTCTCCCTGTCACAGCAAAAATGTTGTGAGACTTGAAAGGGTTCGGAAAAGATTTACAAGGATGTTGCCAGGGTTGGAGCTGTAGGGAGAGGCTGAATAGGCTGGGGCTATTTTCCCTGGAGCGTCGGAGGCTGAGGGGTGACCTCACAGAGGTTTACAAAATCATGAGGGGCATGAATAGGTCTTTTCCCTAGGGTGGGGGAGTCCAAAACTAGAGGGGCATAGGTTTAAGGTGAGAGGGGAAAGATTTAAAAGGGACCTGAGGGGTAACTTTTTCACGCAGAGGGTGGTGTGTGTATGGAATGAGCTGCCAGAGGAAGTGGTGGAGGCTGGTACAATTACAACATTTAAAAGGCAAATGGATGGGTACGTGAATAGGAAGGGTTTAGAGGGATAATGAGCAAAATGCTGGGAAATGGGGCTAGATTAATTTAGGATATTTGGTTGGTGTGGACGAGTTGGACTGAAGGGTCTGTTTCTGCCTCTATGACTCTACAACTGTACTGTATTCCAGATGTGAGCTAATTGGCCAAACTACTAGGCTTCAATCAAAACGTACTTTATTCTTCACAGTTAAAACAGAAACGAAAAAAAAAAAGAATTAGCATGACTTTAATGCTATTGAAATATTTAACAAAATAATATATATTTTAACTGCGACTCAATTGTTCCAACATAGCAGCATCCCATAACTCTTTCCCAAGGCAAATTCAGCAAAAACAGATTTTCTTCACTTGCTATCACCTCCAGTCCTGCAGAAGGAACACCAATGGAATGAATCTAGCAGCAGAGAGAGAACTCAAGCTTTTTGCAGCAGCAGACAGCTGTATCCAGCAGCTTCAACTCCAAAAACCCTAACTTCAACAATGGAAAGCAAACCTAAAACCTTGGGTCTATGTGAGCCTGACTCCATCACTCATGTTTCTTTTGTCTACCTAAAAAAAAACCCAAAGCTATTTACCCAGCTTTCCATGGAGCAGACACGTCAGCTCCAGATTTAGAATACCCCTCTTCAAGAGAACAAGGACAGAACAAATCCCTCTTCAAGGTACATTTTGTCACAATAGTAATACAAACAAAAATTAATACTGTACATAATTTCTCCACCCTAGTTCCTAAACAGTGATAAGATATTATGAACCTTCATCAAAATATATTTCATAGAATCCCTACAGTGCGGAAGCAGGCCATTTGGTTCATCAAGTCCATACTAAAGAGCTTCCATTCAGACCCACCCCACCCCTGTAACCCAGCATTTCCCATGACTAATCCACCTAGCCTACACATCCCTGGACAGTATGGGCCATTTAGCATGGCCAATCTGCCCTAGCCTGCACATCTTTGGGCTGTGGGAGGAAACCAGAGCAAACCC